CAGAGTTCGCCGGTTTTTTTTTGCCGCCGCTTACCCCCCCCCCCCCTTTTATTTATATTTATTTTCATCGAATTAATTTTTTTCGAATAAAATAGAAAATTATAAGTTCGCGATTTGTTGTCATTTTACAAAAAGTTCCAGCTCATCAATTTCAAAATTAAACGTCCCTATCTGACGTCTTGTCTTGTCACGTCCAAAAACCACCGACTGATAATCACTTTGAATCTGTAGCACCGCCATATCGATTGAAGACAGCGGCGGCGGTATCGAGGAGCAGCAGATCTTCGAGAACCTGAAACTGCATAAGGAGGTGCTGAGTGGCGTTAAACAGCAGCCTTGGCCGCTCAGGAAGAAGCTGAAACTCGTGCGCCAGGCGAAGGCGTACGTGAGGAAGCACGAAGGTGCACTGCAGGAGAGACTCGCGCAGACGCGCAGCACCCGGGACGCGATCGCCCGGGCGTCGATACTCCTCAACAAGGTATACTTCTTCTTCATCTTCTTCGATGAATCAGCAGCACCTAGGGTTTGATCGGGTTGTTGGGGTTTATTTACTGTAGAAAGGATTCTCTCTCTACCTTTTGCAAAAGCACACCGGCAATACTTTAATGGGGAATCCAATGGCATTCGTTTTTCTTGCACATAGACATGCAACAAATTCAAATATAATGCTTTTTATAATATACATAATGTTAATGTTATGCAATTCATTATTATACGCAAATAATATGGTGTATTTTTAATGTCAATAATAAGTCACGATTTTGAAGAATCTTTTGGCCAAATGATATGTTCGAACGGTATAATATTGTGAATCTAATTGATATAAAATCTCTTCCAATTAAATGCGCACATTTGCAAATGCGTACGAAAGAAAATATACATTCTTTAAATTTTCGATGCCTATTATGTTTAAGTTACATCGTAATACTTCTAGTCTTTAAAGTGAATTTTTTTAAACTCTCTTTTCAAAATTCAAGTACGTCTAGGGTGTTGATGAGAATAAAAAAAAAATGGTATTGACAGTAAAGAGTGCACATTCAAATACGACTCTACGATCTAACAATAAAGTAGTAATTCTTTTTTATCCTATGCACAATGATAAAAAATCTATAGAATTGAATCTACCATTCCCAATTTGTTTTCTTCTGTGGAGTTGATTTATGTATTTATTATTATTATTATTGTTGTTGTTGTTGTTGTTGTTGTTATTATTAATTAATTATTGGAAGTATGTTGAAGAAATGAAAATTGAATGATACATTGAAATCAATAGAATTGGCAGTATTTCAAACGAGAGATAATCAACCTAAAGACGTTTCTGGTACCTTGGGAGCGACGCATAAAGCAAATCGAATCTCAATTCGGTTCAGCTGTTGCATCGTATTTTATTTTTCTTCGGTGGCTTTTTTGGATCAACCTTGTCATTTCAGCAACACTGGTTACCTTCGTTGCTATACCGGAGGTAAAGAGAAAATTACTTATCAAACCCTACTTTCTTACTACTTTCTGAAAATACAACGCAAAATGACAAAGAAAAGAATTAACAATAACTTATAGAATTAATTTCATTTGAAGAACAAAAAATTTACAAATCTTCGTTTTTATAAAAAAAAAATTACCCTCGTCTTCAAATGACGTTGCTTAAATGTTATATTATATTTAAATTTGTTAAAATAAAAGAGCCTCGATAATGGAAATAAAAAAAGAGATACAATAAATAAATAAATAAACGATTGCAAGGGTGTGTGAATAAACTTATATTTACGTCAATTAGTATATTCGATTTAAAATATAGTTTGGCGGTATAATATCTAAATTTGAAGAACTATTTAAAATTAATTATAATTGCATGAAAAGCCAATGGTAATTTAATGTTTGTTATAAAAAGTAAATGTATTACATAAAAATTAATATGCCCGTTGGCAATAAATATATATAAATATGAATACGTACATGTGCGCTTAATCAGATATTTTATCAAAAATTCTAAATTTGCAATTTGCGAGTTGCTACTTTTGATATTCTTAAAGTTCCCGCGTTAGAACCAAGTAAAAATAATTTTACATAAAATTACCATAATCATCGTTATATAAAACTGTCATTGGCATTTCACGAAATAAAGCATCAAGCGCTTGATAAACTTGACACATCGCGTACTAATTGATTATTCTCCATTTTTCACTAAGAATTTACACGTATTAACTTCACTCGAGTTAAAAAAAATTAACGCTACTTTCAAGTAACGCAAATTTTTTAGTTATTGGCTACATTGCAAAATGCAACCATTGCCGGTGAACGGAAAACCATGTTACCAGAAGAGCAGGTAAAATCCAACCATCTGCTCACACTGTGGGAGTTCGAAGGAAATCTCAAGTATTCGCCATTTTTCTACGGCTGGTATGCGAATCAACATACCTACAAAGCATACAAACTTCCTCTGGCTTATTTCGTCGTCAACCTAGTCGTGTACACCTACAGCTTCGTAGTGATTTTACGGAAGTGAGTAGTAGGGAGATAAGAGCTTTGTTAAGAAGATAGTAGAAGTTTTGTTGGAATGCCGGTAATGTCAAGTGGATTCCATTAGGAAATGAATTATGCTTTTTTGTTTTTTTTTCAAGCGATCAATTAATTTTCAACTTTATCAAAATAAACATAATTTTTTGAATTTTTCGTTCACAAATAATGTCAAAGCAATGTTTCATTTATACTTTACATAAGGGATGTTTAAATGAAATGGCATAAAGATCGTGAGTCTTTACGAATGTTTCAAGTTATTTCAGTTTTTTTCAATTTTCATTTTTACTTTTTAAAATCACGACGAATTAAAAGTCATTATTTCTTTCATTGTCAATATAGCTTAGTATAATTTTTAAATTAGCTATTAAGCTATTTAGTAAAGAATAAAACGATACGGCTGAATTATAAATTATGTAAATTTTGAACATGATGCTACCATTAAATATAATGTATTTGGGATTAAATAAAGTTTAATTGTAAGTTATTAAAATATTTTTATGCTCATTTTCCCTTTTTTTCTTTCTTATTATATACATATACATAAAGATAAAGCTGTCTAGCACGTTATTTATTTATTATTAAAAATAGTAAGCTACTTATGTAATGCCTTTGTTAAATTGTAATAAAGAGCTTGCAATTACCTGTATCATTGCACGACTTTATTATTATTTTATTGACATGTGAGACTCGATTAACATGACAAAATCTAAACTCATGGTTAATATTGAATTGTCACGTAGATTTAATGATCAATTACCATCGCCGACATTACGGTCAAATTCAAATTGTCTGCATTAATAAGGCAAGCGGCAATATATATTGAGCCAATTTTCGGTAGCTGTTAAAGATTTAGTATTTGTCTCGAGTTCGTTATATATTCATTATGTGGATCCCTGATTCAAAATTCCTCTTAGAAAATCGAGAGCGAAATAATAATCCGCCGTCCCATCGAAACTTTCTGCAGAATGGCGAAAAATTCACGCATGAGCAAACTTTCGGAGAAGGAGGACGAGTGCGCGTTTTCATGGAAGCTCTTCACTGGCTGGGATTTCATGATCGGCAATGCTGAGACAGCCAACAACCGCATAGGGAGTATCGTCCTGGGCTTGAAGGAAGCTCTTCTTGAAGAATCGGAAAAGCACCGAGATGAACGAAAGTGAGAGTGGCCGGAGTATTTCATTTTACTTTACCTTGTAGCATTTAAGTATAATTTTCGTCGTTCTGTATCATTTGGCTTCATCCACGCGTCAATTTTATATTCACAGCTGGAAAATCATAAGCATACGGATTTTCGTAAATCTATTGGTTATGGGAATGCTGGCGATTTCGGCTTACGCGGTTGTGGAAGTCGTTGAGCGAAGCGAGAACATCGAAGATACAAATAGGAACTGGTGGCGTCAGAATGAAATCACCGTCGTCATGACTCTCATTTCCTACAGCTTCCCCATATTATTTGAGGTTCTCGGTATCATTGAAAGTCATCATCCACGGAAGCAGTTACGACTGCAGCTCGGACGGTATGTCTCCGAGGTCATATCAATCATTTGTGTGTAGTGATTAATGTAAATGAATTTGGCTATCGAAATCTGCTCTATTACGATGTATTTAATATATCTCGTCATAATGCGTTAAAATTTATTTAATTGCTATACTTGAATATTCATAGATAATGGTAAGATCAAGACTTTATGGAGAATTAAATCGTAGTAACGACTAGCATTTAAATATATATTTGCACATATATTTCATAAAGCCGAATATATAAATAAAATGCTTATAAAATTTTCTTGCAAATTCAAAATACGTATGCTTTGATTATTTATGGTTTATTATATTATAGCATGGATAAATGAAAATATGACATTTATAGGAATTTTCAGGATCTTAATAATCCTTCCGATAATCTGCGTTGATTTTTACGAACAAAGCCATTTTTGATAAAAATTACAGGATTCGAAGGTAGATGCATATTTATTTTCAAGGTCAATTAAAGATCAATATAATCGCGATTAATGCAAGCTTCGACGTTATTAAATCCGTAACGATCATTCATTCATCATTGAATATCTTCATTTTGACACTTATATCTAAGAAATTGATAATAAATATTTGCTACGTGGATACAACGTGTTGTATATCCATTAGTATGTGATTGCATAGTTCGAGTACGTGGCTTTACCATTTTGACACTGCCAAAATCTCCTAAGCCCCACTTCAAATTCCTTAACAGTAAGTTCTACGTTCTGTCATCATCCGAGATTATCGGAAGCTGGAATAGTTAGTTAGCCCCTTCAAAATTTTACAATAACTGGGAATTATTACTATATCAATTGTCGTTATTATGCTGATAATCGATTAAACTTATCATAAAGGTATTTGGCGTAGTCTCTATAAAATTCAAAATAATAATAAAAACCTTAGCTAACTAGCTAGTTGCTTGCAACCTTGAATGATATTCTATTTTCCATGATTTTCTACAAATACACTATAGGAACGAAATCATCAATTTCATATCAAATGTACTCAAGCATGATGCTATTTGTGTTACATAAAATGTTTTTTAATTATTAGATATTCGGATTGTAAATTTATTTATTAAAAATCGTTTATCGTTAAAACGGGATGATAAGATTCGAGTAGAATCAATTAAAAATAAAGAAAAACAAAAAAAAAACCTATTGAAATGTGAACATATGCCGCCGTTCGTGCGGAATCATCACTCGACTAGAAAGAGACACATGCTCTAAAAATTTTAACGACTTCGTTCGATGTCTGTATGTGATTACAATATATTAATTAATTAATTGTAATATAAATAGTAATTTTTTATCGCACAAGTTCCTTTTCATAATTCATAAATCGAGGAATTATGGATATAAATTCATTACAAAGTACTCTTAATCTATCAAGCAATCCCATAAAATAATTGAATTCTTTTTATGCTTAGTAATGTAAATTTTTGAACTTTGAATAACATATAATATGTAATTTGAATTCTATGTTATTTTCACAATTAATCTTCTAAATCTAATAAAAGATAAAATAAAAAATTTGAATTGAACTATTCGATCATATCTATTCAATATGTTACTTTTTCAACTACATGTTCCATTACTTTATTAAGTTTATGCTTCTAACTGTAATAAAATATACATATATATCTTATATTATTATATAATAGCAATTTTCAATGATTCAATATATCGTTATAAATTATTTCACTTCCTAACGCATATCGCAACTTTTAAATACAGACATTTGTATTGGAAGTGCGAGCGTCAAATTGTAACTCAAGGATCACAAAACGTGAAATATCACAGATTGGTTTCAATATTTTACGTTCAATGTGCTCCTTACTAATTTACTAATACATCTATTATATAATAATTCGTCTCTGTAATTAAAATATTAATGTAATTAATATTCTACAATTATATTCATTGTGTTAATTTTACCTTATTACTTATATTCGGTGATTTTTCTCTTCATTGAAGCGTTGAATATAATAAAAACCGATCAAATCATCTATTGTGTTGAACTTGAATTATAAATTTTAGTTGATATCAGTAAATATTTACGATGAAAACTGATTTTTAGAGCTGGAAATTCCTCTGTCCTATTTACAACGGCTAAATGATTTAGAATATCAATTTTATTACAGGCTAGTCGTTAATTTTCTTGTCTTGCTTGCTATCAACATTTTTATTTTCTTTTTTTTAATTGTAACATCTAACAATGGATTATAAACAATGTATATTTTCATAAAGTGATTAGCAATTCCATACTAATATTTTTGATTGACGCTCGTGTAAGCCACAAAAATAATTAAAAAAAAACTTCAATTTCATCTTGCATATATAGCAATATAAGCTTATATCATAAAATAGTTATCATCTTTCCATTTTTTTTTTTTTTTTTTTTTTATAAGTAATAATATTTACATACCTAAATAAATTTTTTATCTAAGACTTCTAAATTTTGTCATAAAATACTATTGTTCTTTTCCTTATTTTAATTTTCATAATACTTTTATAATAATAAATGTGCTCATACATTTTCTGATTTCGTTCGCAAATGCAGAAAATTATTATTAGTCTCAACCAATATTTCGCTTGCAGTTGGCGCCAACAATATTAATATTTATAATATTTGCAATGAAAATATGTACAAGTGACAATAATATATTAATATATATTTTTCTTTTTGTTTCAGCATAATGATTTTGAATCTACTCAATATGTATTCTTTAATATATGCTCTCTTCAAAAAAATCAATTCATCGGTAAGTTTTATTACTCGAGTATTACTATGATTTAAACAGATTAATTATTTAAATTAAGAAAATATTTGTTTTCTCATTATGTAAATAATTCATGGCTTCAGATGGCATGAAAAATAGATTTTCATTTTATCCATTAATATTGAATTCTCTTAATCTCTTCCTTC